ACTTTTATTTTCGGCGCAGATTTTTCATAATGATTATTCGACCAAATTTTTGTGTTAAGCTGACGTCGCAGCTCATCGTCTTTCCAAAAGTCTTGTGGGTTACTTCTTCCACTAATCAAATTTCTTCAAGCGGTTGTAGATATTGTTGTTTTCAATAAATAAAGTGACATGCGTGCGATGCAAGGATTTTATTTGCGTATTTGAGGTTTTATTTTAGAAAAAGTATTAGGGTTCCACACAAAACAATTAAAGTCCTAAATTACACGCGAGCGAAGCCACGTCGTTCATTTTGTGCCTTGTTGATCGTAGGATTATTATGAATTGCCTCCAAAAAAAGATCTTTCAATGAAATCCATTGCACGTAGCTGACCGAGAATTCAGGTACTTTTATTTTCGGCGCAGATTTTTCATAATGATTATTCGACCAAATTTTTGTGTTAAGCTGACGTCGCAGCTCATCTTCTTTCCAAAAGTCTTGTGGGTTACTTCTTCCACTAATCAAATTTCTTCAAGCGGTTGTAGATATTGTTGTTTTCAATAAATAAAGTGACATGCGTGCGATGCAAGGATTTTATTTACGTATTTGAGGTTTTATTTTAGAAAAAGTATTAGGGTTCCACACAAAACAATTAAAGTCCTAAATTACACGCGAGCGAAGCCACGTCGTCGTCTCGCCTCGTCGGCGTCTTTTAATTATTTATAACTAATAAAACAAATTTAATCCTTAAGTTGTCCCTCCTTATTGCAAATTTTAACTTTTATTCCTTAATTTTTTTTACCAAATATTATTAGTTCGATCGCTATTGATCGATCATAAATACAACTTAATTTTTAATTATTCCCTATTCTTAAGTAGTCGAAGGAGCCCCGCTGTGCGGGGCTCCTATTATTGGGTGGTTTAAAAAATTAACCACGAAAGGGATAGCGGGCACTGTTCGCTGTCTTCGCTCTCTCACTCGAACCCGCCATCCCCTTCTAACCTAATCTGTCCGAGCCGGGGTGTCCTAAGTCACGAGCTCTCGCTTTTATGCTCAATATTAACAACTAAGTTATATTTATGACCGGACAATAGCGATCGAACAAGCGATATTTGGTAAAAAAAAATTAATTTAAGGAATAAAAGTTAAAATTTGCAATAAGGAGGGCCAACTTAAGGATGAAATTTGTTTTATTAGTTATAAATAATTAAAAGACGAGAAAACAATTTTTATGCTCGAACAATAACGTACAAACGACGAACAATTGATAAAAATAAAAAATCCAACTGTGGCTAGCACAAACAGCACAAACTAATAAGTGCTAGCGGGGCTAGGTTCACTTACGTTCTGTTTCAGTATATAGAAAGGTACTCTGTGACCTTCTGTGTCTGTGGCATAGACTTTCAATGCTCTATCGGTGAGGTTTTGACGGGAACTTGACTGGCGGTGGTTTGCTGCTCCTGTATTATTGTTTAAATAATGGTTTGAAGTAGACTTTGATATGTAAAAGTGGTGTAGACTTTGATATGTTTTGTGTATTAACTGTCTGCGCATGTGAACTATTAGTGGAAACTGTGAAACAAGTGCTCTGATGGTGACGTGATTCTCAAAATAAGGGGTCTGTCTGCTTAGGCGCCTTGAGATACCATCGCCAAACGTCAGCTGTCTGCTGGCTCAAGTTGCCGTCAAAATCAACCAAGGGCTGCACAATGTGACGCATCAACATATTGTGAAGCAGTATACTATGAAGGATAATTTTTATAATATATTTTAACTTCAGGCTCAGAAGGGCTAGATCCCAGAGCCGTAAAGCCAGTAATTAAGAAGAAGAATCCTCTATCGGTCTGTGGTGATGTCATAAACTTTATCCAGTCTATGGGTGGTTTGGTCAGCAGGGTGACCATTAAGTTATTTTAATTATTTTCAATACATTTTATCGATTTTTCCGAACAATGGTATTTTTTTAGGTATATTGCCGGAAGTCAGTAATTTTGGGTATATTTTGGATAAGAAGATACGGTTACGCCGTGGTAATCATCATAATGAACGTCGCGAATATTGATGTACAGAGAATTTCTCCGATTTAGTCTACAGTTTATTTAGGAGCAAAGATGAATAAGTTACAGATAGAACATGACAGGCGGCCGCCGTTGTAGGATTATTAAACTATACAATTAACAATCTATTATTTTCAAAACAAGGTCTGAATTTTAAGTTTTTATTTGTACGAATAGATAAGTAGGTACATAACATACTTTTGTGTATAAGTTACTAATAATATTGAATCATCTAATATGGTTTATTTAAGCGAAATTATTTTTTGTTCTGCACTCGACTTAATCTTTGAGATTGTCCTTTCGATAATTCGAGAATTCCCTCAAATTAGAAGTACTTTTTGTTATAATTATTTATTTTCTTTGTTTTTATTTTACATGACGTATCCATCCGGACAGCATGACTATTATTCAGTTATTGGCAAGGTGGGAACAAATTAAGTATATTTTTTCGTAGCTTTCACATTATAAAGATAATGAGGTCGCCGCCTTTTGCAAAGCATGCAATGTGAAGCTCCAAAGTAAATTAGTATATATAAAACTATATGCAAATACTGAAAAGCATAAATCGAACTTGAAAAAATGTAGGGGACAGTCAAAGGTCAAATTAACTTGCTAGATAGTTTATAATTAGCATTATAGTACCTAAAATCAAAAGAATCTGTAGATCGTTTAATATAAACGCATAATTTTAAATTAAAAATGTTGTACAACCGACTTCAATATAAATTATTAAGAATAACGTACAAACTATTAGTTAGGTCTTCATCAAATTAATATGGGATCACAGGAGAAGCATCAGCTTTCAAATAAAATATCATTGAAATCGGGTTCACCCAGAAAAAAGTTATGAGGGAACACAAAAAAAACATACAGTCAAATTGAGTACCTTCTCCTCTTTGAAGTCGGTAGGAAAGTCATCTCGGGCTTGACACTTGTTTTTAAATGTGTTGTATCAGCAACTTTAAAAAACAAAGCAAGGTGATAATGATGAAGGATGTTGTTTCAATTTTGATGCTTCGAAAAGAATGTTTATTTATTTATTTATTCATTTATTCAAAGTGGAACAGCTAACAGCTACATTATATATATTACATACAGATAGTACAGTAACATTAATATACGCAATAATGCAGCCCACAGTGCTGTTCACAGATTACCTCTTGAGATAGATGATTAAGACGCTAGGAGACCTGCAGCTGTACAGAACGTATTATATAAGTGTCAAAGTATGGTCAGCAATGATATTATAATGTGACTGAGGTGACAAATTATTATTTGAAAAGTGTCTTATATAAAAAACCACGAAACCTTTCCGTTGAGCATGTGAAAATATCTATATGCTCGAAGGTCTCATTATATGTGGCAACCATACGTCGAATCGGTGAACGTATACCGGTATTGGATCGACAGGCACTTACGGCAAAAAGTTTACCCGCACGCACCTGTCGTCTATGGATAGTTCTGGGGACCGCATAACATAACACATTATTTAACTCAATACAGTCAAACTTGCATCTTACTATATGGAAAAGTGTCATAGCCTCTAATTGCTTACGTCTAGATTCGAGGATTAGAAGTTTGTATCTACTAAGTAACTGGTCATATGGTAGATAAGATTTATGACATCTATAATGCATTGCACGTAGAAACCGGCGCTGAACATTTTCAATTTTGTGTATATATTTATTATAGTAAGGATTCCAAATAGGCACAGCATACTCAAGTTGAGAGCGAACTAGGGTTTTATATAAACAAAGATATGAATAGGTCCGTTTGAAGTCGCGAGTTGATCTCATAATAAATCCATATAATTTGTATGCTTTGTTTACAATTTGTTCAATATGTAAGTCTAAGCACAGTTTTGAATCAAACAATATACCAAGGTCTCGCGTAGAATCCACTTTAGCCAAAGGAATGTTACACAGTGAGTACGAAAATTTTATAATATTCTTGTTTTTAGTAATACTGAGATATTTACACTTCGGAATACTTAACTGAAGTTTACTTTTGTAACAATAGTCTGTCAGTCTATCCAGGTCCTCTTGGAGAAGAATGCAGTCATGTGTAGTATGGATAGATTTATAAACTTTAAGATCATCTGCATATAATAGAAATTTAGAATTGAGAAAACAGGTACTTATGTCATTGATAAACATTACAAACAACAGAGGACCGAGAATAGATCCTTGAGGTACACCGGAGGTAACCATCGTAACGTTAGAGTGGTATCCATTGATTACAACCCTTTGGCAACGGTTAGTGATATAAGAAACAAACCATCGTAAAAGATTACCCCGAATGCCATTGTAAGCTATTCGATTTAGTAACATTTCGTGGTCCACCTTATCGAAAGCCTTTCGAAAGTCTGTATATACTGCATCAACCTGTACGCGATTATCAACATTTTCGAATAAAAAGCTGGAAAATAATAGTAGATTGGTGGCTGTTGATCGACGTTTAACGAAACCATGCTGTTGCTGAATAATAATATTATGCAGTATGGGATATATTTCGTTATGCACAAGTCTCTCGAAGAGCTTCGACAAGGTGGATAAAATTGATATCGGGCGATATTGATCTACACTACGTTTAGATCCGCTCTTGTGTACAGGTGTGATGTAAGCATGTTTCCATACTGTTGGCATAACATAACTGTTATAATACAATTCTAACATATATTGTGATGATAATGATTAAATAAAACATGTTAAGAAAATTAGTATTTTATTGGTATATTTGTCTTTTGTAAGTCGGTGTATTTCAGTAATTTTTTTAGGTGCCTCGGTATTTTAGGAAAATTTAATCTGGTCACACTGGTGGTCATTTAATTATTTTTTAATTTATTTATACATTTTTACTGGAACGTTGTTGGGAACGTTTGTGCGTGCAAATCATAAAAAAGATCTCTTTTATTAAAATTTCGTAAAAAAAGTCTTATTATTTTGTTTCTAAAAAATCTTACAAAATGCCGGCTAAAGCTGTTTGTGTATTAAATGGAGACGTCAGTGGCACTATATTCTTCGACCAAAAGGTAAATTTCTTGTCGTCTCTTGCTTCGACCTTGAAACTTTGACCCGAAAAAAACTTGAGTAGGTTACCGGGTATATTATATTGTTTTTATGTACATATGTAATAGTAATATACATAATTGTAATTAGCGTTCGGCGTCTCCGCTAGGAGTAAAGTATTCTGTGGTTCGGCGCCGAGTATTCTAGAAGCTACTTGCTTTTATCGTTATCTATCTTGTTTGCAGGCGTTTTACTGTAGGATGTACTTAAACTTAATAAAAAAAAAGTAATACTAATTGATATTAGTAGATTTAATACGGAATGACTAGTATTAGTAGAGAATGCATAAAGGCATTGAAATCGGCCCTTTTACTTTTGTTTAGGCATGCTACAATAGAAAAGAGTAAAAAATAAGTTAACTTAAAAGTTAATTAACCTCTCAGACCTTGACATTTTATTGGACATATTTAGTTAGAACTATGGTCAAGCCAAAGAGTATAGTAGGTCAGGACAGACGATTTTTTAAAAAAATGGTAAAAATAACTTAGAGTCATTACTATGTTCATATCCAAAAATAAAAAATTATCAACAATTAAAATATCGAATTATTTATATGAAGGTCAAGTGAGCGCTAGAGTGACGACGATTGCAAGACGATTTGTCGATAAATGAAATGTTTCGAGAAATTATCAATTACTGTGTAGTGGCGGTGTATGAATATTCATACTATTCCGTGGGTTTCGTAAGAGGCGACTGATCCACTGTTCAATACAATAAGGTACGTGTACCGTGGAACAGAACGTGGCAACTATGACAAGTATACCCTCTATGAGGAATATAGTGGAGGCCTATGTTCATTGGAGGTTTTTATAGGATGTAACGGTCCATCACCAGCAGTGGAATGAAACTGTAAGGAGAGGGAGGGATTAATTTTATTATTTAAAAAAATATTTTTGTGTTTTTTTTTTTATAGAAGAGGGCAAACGAGCATGCGGCTCACCTGATGGTAAGTGACTACCGCCGCCCATGAACAACCGCAACACCAGGGGAATTGCAGATGCGTTGCCGGCCGTTTAGAAAGGTGTAAGCTCTTTTCTTGAAGGTCCCTAAGTCGTATCGGTCCGGAAAATCCGCCGGTGGTAAACAATTATGTGTAAAAAAGTCATCAAACAGCATCAAACAATTTATTAAACAAAAGTTGCGTAAACAAGTTCAATGGTTAAAACAATATTAAATAACAAAACCAAACAATTCTACTGAAAAGAAAAAAAAAGTAAATATTATTTCACTTTTACAACTAAGGCAAATCTAACGAATCGCTATATTATGTTAAAATTCAATATATATATATGTTAAAATCGAATAAATATTATGAAGAAAGAAACAAGGACATAGAAACACTTGATTTTCATAAAGAAAAGAAATATATAATATAATTATATCGATAAACTCAGTAGAAGCCTCAAAAAAAATTAAATCACAGGTATAATAAAACTAATTCTAATAAAATTTTAGTTTTATAGTTCATCTAAATAACATTTAAAAAATAATTGTTATGAGCACAATCACTATGGTTCTGACTAAACGTAGTGTAGTGATCATATACTCTTTGGTTCTGAGGGGTCCTTTCTAAATATTACCATACTCTTTGGAGCGTTCTACAAAGTTGACCTTGGATTGCCTCATGTGTACTTCAAAGGCTTGACAGATAATTAAAACAATCCATTGAGGTTACACTGGTGAATCACCAAAAAAGTCCCTTGTCAGTAGATTCTGTATTTCATTTCCATCCATTATTAACTGTTACATTGTTGCGCATATGCTCTATACCCTTAATTAAGAAAAGTTTCGTTCTTAATTACGATCCGTTTTATTATATGCCAAGTGCGCACCGGCAACTCAAGACAACTAAGAATCAAACTCTTACGATGTTCGTATGTTGTTAAATTAATATGGTTTTTTTTTTAGTACACGGGTGATGAGCAATAGTATCATCTATTACAGTCTATAAGTCTACTGATGAACATAGGTCTCCTCCATAGATTGCATATTATGTGCGATTTGGTTTATTATTATTTTAAATTGTTATTTGGAAAATGCTGCTGCCCATCTCCTGTTTCAGTTTCCCTCCACCCATGGGATAGTCTGCGAATATTATTACTCCGCCACTATATGGTAATAGTTTCAAGCGTAGCAAATCCAAACTGTAGGGGAGGTGCATATTCTGCAGTGGTTGTGTAAAGGCCAATCCAATGTCAGACTTACTTTTTGCATTAAATAAGTAAAAGAGAATAAACAATTCCTTTAAATATCAACCTAACTTCTCATAGTGCACCGTACTGCTGGACAGACGAGACTCTAACAACTGAGCAACAGTAAAGTTATAGGCACAAGTCTACTCTCATTTCTGAGATGATTTCAACATGGTAGAGCCATGCTGAAGCTATATTATATTGGCTCGACCGGAGTAGGACCACGCTCTCACAGAATTGAGACATTCCATCTTAATCCTCACGGGGTGACAACGCATCTGCATTTTGATTCTTGATCAAGGATAAATGTAGATGTCTAAGGGCCACAGCATCCACTTACCATCAGGTGAACTGTGTGCTTGTTTGTCACCCTTATTCTATTACAAAAAAAATTATTGAGTAATTAGTCCACTGCACTGCTACCATGCTTGTTGATGGAATCCATATGTCTTTGAACTATTTTTATTCCTCAGGCATGCAAGGTGCCTCACAATGAATTTCTTCACCACTGAGAATGTTGTAAAGTAGCACTTAAATTGCAATTAACAATATCATTTCTGTCAGCAGCAATCATACTTAGTTAGCTCGCATACTGTGAAATCTACGCTGATGTACCATTACTTGTGAAGGGTCAAAATCTCTAAATAGTTATCCATAGTAGCTTTGCATCCAGCCTGCGCAGTGTACTGTGTATAGGCTATAAGAAATACATACATGGTGGCCTATTCTTGATAAGGCTATCTAGTATAATGTTGTGGTAGAGTCAAGTGAAGAAGTGTCAAATGGCAGCTTAATGCTTCTGTTTTGTAAAGTGAGTCTTAGAGAACCGGAGACCCTTGCCATTCCACCTTAGTTCTTAGGGGTGACATTTTGATTCTTAACTCAGGATAGATGTAGGTGTCTATGGGCCGCAAGCCATGGTCTGTGCCTGTGTGCATGTTTGTCACACTTATTCTATAAAACAAAACAGTTTTAAAAAAACGTGGTAGCTCGGCGATTTTGTACTCGCCTTAAGGTTTTGTATAGTCTTTATGTGTGGTCCTTTAAATTTGTTGTAACCAGCTGAATAGGATGTTATAGGTCTACCATAGCTATGAAGACTTTTAGTACACACTAGATTTTCTTTATTCCTTTCAAGGACAGTTACAACACAACGTGATTTATTAATGTCATTCCTAAGTGCTGTGTAGTGACTGTAAGAGAATACATTATCATTCTATGGATGTCATAAGAGGGGACAAAGGGAAATAAAACAGGAGATGGGCAGCACATAGATAGTAGAACAGAGTAGTCTGACGTGCAATTATAGCAAATATCCCATTAATGGCAATCTGTGGTGGAGGTCTATGGGCAGTGGACTTCTGAAAATCTTGTAATAAATAAATTAATAACTATGTTTTTTTATTTATTTAGTTTTTAATTATTTAATATTTATTTTCAGGATGACAAATCTCCAGTAGTTGTCTCTGGAGAAGTGAATGGATTGTCCAAGGTAAGTTCATTCTTATCATCAGTCCGTAAACTGTCTATTATCTATGATATAATATAACTTGCTCGGTCAGTAGATGTTGTTTAGCCCTTTCCAGTAGGTGGTGCGGTGAGTTACTTCGAATTCACTGTGGACTTTCTACAGTGTAAATAAATATAAATCAGGTCCAGATTTTGTGATTTTGTTTTATGGCACTGAACCAACATATGCTGTGAATATTAGTTATTTGGTCCATTTGAAATGAAATGAAAATTTTATTTTCTAATTTTGACATAAGAATAAACTACACTACCACACATTGGTGCATAGCTATGAACCATTGTCTCGATAAAACAAGTGCATTGTGTGAATATGACCTCCACCAGTCAAGTTATTCAGGAATTAAACAATCTCTAACATACACCAAGGATTATGTAAAGAAAAATAGTAATTGATTACTCCGTAGTTTATAGCATTATCTCAGTTTTATCTCCAAGGAACATTTGATGCTAATCTTTCTTGCTTCTTATCTGGTGTATATTTGCAATGAGGTTCAAGGTTTTTTTATAGCAAATGGTGACCTAGTTTTTCATCAGTTTTTATTAGGTAAAATATTTATTTTTTTACAGTATTTCAGCCACTAAAGTATACCTTAAAAATTGTTCATAGTATACTTTAGTGACTGAAATACTGTTTCTTTGACTTTTTAATAGCAAAATCCCTATATATCGCTGTAATTTAATTATATTTTAGGTGTTCTATACGAAACCTTATTTCCTTTGACTACCAATTTGCATAGTTATAAATGAAAATTGGTGGAATATGAACTATGAGAAAAATACATTGCGAACATTGGATATGATTATACAAATTTATGGATTGCTAACTTACAAAAAAAAATTGTAATAATTTTTTTTCCATTTAAATTATGTCTCACAATCATAAAAAATCGAATCTAAATTATATTTCGTACATTTGTAATAGCGGGTGATTCATTTCTATTTTGGTTTGATTAGTAACATGCAATTTTTTCCATTATCAAACATATAATTTTTTATCAGAAGTGTAATAACTAATGCATTTTTTTTTCTAAATTAAACGTTACCCCCACACTAGGATTTTTTCCTGTGTCGTGGAGGCAGTTTACAAACATAAATTGCACAAGGACAAACATCCAGACCCGGAACAATTATTTGTAGGCCATACAAATACTTGTTCCGTGCGGGATTCGAACCCGCGGCCCCCAGCGCAACAACTGATTGCTAAGCCACTGCGCCACGGAGCCGTCTAATCATTATCATCTATCATCTAGCATTATTAACTTATTAATAAATAATAACTGTGCGGTGATGCCATAGGCCAGTGCCTAGTGTGCCTTATTATAAATCGATCACTGTTAGCATCCAATATTATTTTGAACCTTTTTTTATCTAAATGAGCCTGTGAAAGTCGACCTGGCTCTATCCTGCTATAAAAACGTTTTGCGTTAATAATTGTCACGCTTGACAGGTAGATTGCCAATCCAGTAAAAGATTTCTTGCACCTTCGAAGCCCGTCGTTGATCACGTTAAAAAAATACGGTTGACCCTGCAGGTCATCCCTTGAACTTCCCGCTGTGATCTCAAAACGCTCGACAAATATTTTTATGAACTAATAGGTTAACTCATTACATGAAAAACGATCCCAGCAGAAATTTTGATGTTATTAAAAAAAAAAAAAACTTTTTGACAATGATAAATTCGAACGGTACAGCCAGTTGTGATATAATTGGTAGCAGCAACCAACGAGGTATTTTAATAACAATAATAAAATATAATTTAAGAAAATGCTTTCTAAGTTTTTCGTTGTTGTTTCTCTTCAACGCATTAACCAATTTTGAAGCGGTTCACAGCTATCGACTTCTTGTTCCATGTCCAAGTGCTGATTAGATTTTGGAATTGATCGTAGAAAATTTTATTTTTGAGATTTCACAAAATCTACCGGTCCTAATCTGTCGAAACAGTACTAAGTTTGGTGAAACCCTTTCAAACGTTATGAGAGGCCTACACACACACACACACACACACACACACACACACACACACACACACACACACACACACACACACACACACACACACACACGCACACGCCAACGCACACACACACACACGCACACGCAACGCACACACACGCGCGCACACGCAATTCTGCGCGCGCGTTCTAGGACCTCAAAACTTCGAGATCTGATGAAACCAATAACTTCTTGATTTTTGGAAAATCCTTGATTTTAGTCGAGGGAAGTTAAAAAAACTACTATACAAAGAGTAATTTACATCAGGCGTATTTCGCCAAGAGCTGTAGTAGTAGCTCAGGGGTTAAGCGCCCGCTGTAAATTTCACAGTACGCGAGCAACCCGGGTTCGATCCCCGCCGGCACCAATGAAATTGTTAATTGCAATGTTAAGTACCTACTGTCCATCAGCACTAAACATCTTGAGAAAACCTACATGTTTGAAAAATAAGAAGAAAAAAACATATTTCGAAGGCATCGCGTGTGAAGTAGTTCACCGATTCGCATTGGGGCAGCGCCGCGGACTCTTCCTTGCCCTAAAACCTCAGAAATGAGAGGAGGCCTGTGCCCAGCAGTGGAAGTATATAGACTGTAACTTTCACTTTGTATACCGCCATATATCGTAAGCCATAAGATTTTTAGGCATTTTGCATAGCTTTTTAAGACACCCACGAGACGAAATAGCCACTATACGGCTATTTTGAATGCAGCAGTCAAACTAGGCATGCAGTACCGATCTGCGGTTCTTTGAAAATAGTTACAAAAAGCCACTTGCTATATACGCCTGTTGGACACAGGTTTCTTCGTTGTTGAGATTTTGGAGCATAAAATATCCACCACGCTGCCCCATTGCGTCTGCGAACTTCACATGTCTTCTTTTCTGCCGACTTCCAAAAAGGAGACGGTACTCAATTCGACTGTATGTTTTTTATGTGTGTTACCTCATAACTTTTTACTGGGTGAACCGATTTCGATGATTCTTTTTTTATATGAAAGCTGATAGTTCTCGTGTGGTCCCATATGAATTTGATCAAGGGCAGACCAATAGTTTTTGAGTTATTCCTAAATAACGTATATTGAAGTCGGCTGTACAAAATTTTTAATTTTAAATTATTATTAACACGTTTTTATTAAGTCGCTTTCGTGTGTGTTCGGGTCGAATTTAGTTATTGATTTCAAACCAACTTCGCGATGAATTAGACACTTCTGTAAAAATACGTATCAACACCAAACTCCACTGACGTCAATGGAAAGCTAAGCCAACACAGCTCCTAATCGGATGACAATAAACAAGTGGTGAAATGAAAAATTTAGTAATTTTTTTAAATAGGATAAGGGTGGCTGCTGTGGCCCATAGACATGTGCATCTATCTTCGTTTGCGAATTAAAATGCAGATGCGTTGTCACCCGTGAGGACTAAGATGGAATGCCTCGTTTCCAGTAAAAAGGGTCTCCGGTTCTCTACACTCACCATACGAAACACAGCAGTGTTAAGCTGCTATTTTACGCTGGTATTCTGTGAGAGCGTGGTCCTTCCCCGGTCGAGCCGACCCATTCGTGCTACAACTATAATATAGCTGCAGCATGGCTCTACCTCGTCTAAATTTTTTTTTAAACTAACTTCCCGATGAGGTAGACTTGAAAATTTTAACATAGAATTTTTTTTTTACAATAACATATTTTTTAACAGACTAAGTTATTTCACATTTTCCTTTACCACCGAGCCCGTGGTAAAATAGCAACTAACACTCGTTCGTTTCGTATTATGATTTTTAAGACGAGCCTATAATCGCGGAACTACCACGGTTTTTAAACTTTATTTTTATATAGAACTAGCTGTGCCCCGCGGTTTCAGCCGCGTCATCACGTGTCCGAGGTGCGCGACATGACCTAGTTCAAGCATTTTATAACGGCTAGGGTTTAAACGTCGTTCGCGAGCTCAGCCAAGTATTGAATTATTTTAATTTTACATTATCTCTTAAACTATGCGTCGAAATAACATGGTATAAAGAACAAAGTTTAATTTTATAAAATTGTCTTGATGATGTGTAGTAACTTTCGTTCGTAAAGATAAATAGGCCATGCCTAATAATAACGCTCATAATTCACTTTTAAATTTTCAATATTTTTTTGTCACAAAATACCAAATTATGGCTTATGTATAAGAAATAGACATATGGTATCGCGGACTTTTTAGACGGGAGTAAAGGTCTATATTTTTCTAGAACATTGTATTTACGTATCCCTAACGATAACACCAACGTACGCGGATAAATCATTTCGGGAGTGCTTTTTCTTTTGACTTAAGCTTAACAAATATCCCAATTTAAGGCTAGCTGAGTAATATAGCTTAATGCTAGATAGCCTATACTATTCCACATGAATCCGGCTATAATATACATACATCGTACAAAAAGAATTTTTCAAATCGGACTGGTAGTTCCAGAGATTAGCGCGTTTAAACAAACAAAAAAACTCTTCCGCTTTATTATATTAGTAAGTATAGATAAGGGTGACAAACGAACACACAGCCCACCCGATGGTATGTGGCTGCTGTGACCCATAGACATCTACATTTATCTTCCATTAAAATTAATACAGTAAAAAGGGTCTCCGATTCTCTACACTTACCATACGAAACACAGCAGCATTGAGCTGCTATTTTATACTGGTATTAAAGAATAATGTTTCTTTAAACACCAAATTGTTTACGTTTTTGTCCTGTCTTCAAATCGTACAGGTCGACTCGTCGGTTCTGACCTTGCATGATAATTATGCGATTTCGTAATGTTGTTGCTTGTTGTCATGCTGCTATAGCATAACTCTTTTATACCTACAAAAGCTTTTTACTATAACATTATGTTTGTATTAAAATGCTTCGTGGTAATGTTTTCTTTTGTAGTTTAAAATTTAAATGGGTGGCAAATTTTAAAAGTTGAAAGACTCGCTCTGGAGTTAAGCCAGTTCTAGTT